ATTCAGAATGATAAATTCCGAATAGTGCCTTCCCAGCACTGGCTTTGGTGATCACCTCTACCGCGTTCTTGTAAATTTCATCTGCTTTCACAACTTCGCTGCATCGGTCAATTATCTGATCTAACTGTTGAAACATTTGATCTGGTTGCATTTGATCTTGGTTGAACCATTCTAAAGGTAGCTCAATTGTTTCCATAATTAATTTTATTTTGTCGTTGACGGCCTTCTTTGCTGTTTCCGATTTGTCTGTAGCCATTGTTTTAGCTTCATTCATCAGTTCTTTTGCCTTCTTTAGATTTGCTTCATCTACTGCTTTCGTTGCTTTAGTGTCTTGCACGAGTCCATCATCTTGTGGAACGTCGGGGGGCTTTTTTTTTCCGTTAAACTTAGCAGTTTCAACCAGATGGCGAACTTGGTCCATTTCTCCGTCATCAGCTCCTTGGCAGTAAGACTGAAGTTCGCTTGACTCTAGCCGAGAAAGTACCTTAAGTGACGGAGCTTTCTCACAAAGCCTTTTCACCCATTCCTTTGTGACATCGATTCCTTCAGCAATGAGGCCTCCATGCACTTCAAGATGTGGTCGAAGCCGCTTGTTTACACTCGCCAAGCCTTCCTTCTCTAAATCCTCTTCAGAATGTCTGTACAAATATTCCGCAAGCTGTCCTGTATTTGTCAGGTATCTCACAACCAGGGGTAACGCTTCTAGGTGCAACCCATTTTCTTTCAACATTTTCTCCAGGTCCTCTTGCAATCCCCAGCAGGCGACACCTTCCAGCTCATCAAGCAGATTCTCTCTCTCATCGTAATCTTGCAAGGACGTGATGCGTTTATACAGTTTTCGAATCAAACCTTCACACTTTGCAGGATTATCTCGCGGTAAATCACGGATTTCTCCTCGAATTTTTTCCGGAGACATTCTTAGTAAGGCGTCTGTAAGTACAAAAATTTTAACATGAGAATGTTTATGCTGATTATAATTCTTAGAAAGGCGCTTTACTCACACACACACACAAACAATCATAGTAATGCGCTTGCAACTGTTAAGGGTTAAAACTGCTACAAGGAGAGAGGCTGACAAGATAAAATCACAAATATGATTTTTTAAATTAAGTTCCATGGGCTAGCGACTTATCTTTTGCTGTTTGCACTTTCTTGATCTCTACCATTAAGTTACGTAATCCTTTATTTTAATTAATTAATTTAAATAACCTTATTTACATTTCTAGACTAAGTATGAATTCGTGCGTCTCTGAAAACTTGATACAAGGATTTTTAGGATTTCAGTTGAAAAGTTTTATCGTAAGTTTCACCTGAAGAAGACTGAAGGTTGAACATCGTAATTAAACAGCTTGCACTGTTCCAGTTACAAGATGGTTTCCTTACTATATCTTAGTTCACTCATTTATACATTTAAATTTCCGTTTATATCTGTGTGGATTCGCCAAATATTATGGAGCACAGCCAACGCAAAGTCTCCGCAGAGCACCTTACTTTGGAAACTCAACATCCCCTACTGCTGTGGTGACCTAACACACCAGCTGAGCTGCAAGAAGACCCATGATGAGCCTGGCTGTGAATCATGCGTGACAGCCCAAGACAAAAATAGGCTGGAAAGGCTGTCACAGCCCAAAGTTTTTGAAATTCCCTGACTTTTCCTTGAAAAATGTAGAATTTCCCAGACCAACTGAGTTAACAATACGAAGAACCAATTCTTATAATGGTCTCCAACCTCCCCTCACAGACATACATCCCTCCACCTATTTATTTATGCTTTTAGAAAGTCACATGCAGTGACATCGACTGATTATTAAACCCTTGAAGTAACATAGAAAAATAATTCATTTTTTTGGAAATCCAACATCATTTGCTCATATGAGCTAAAAAGTCCAAAAACTACCCTCCCAACACTTAGCTTTGGACACACTAACTGTTAGTGATCTATAACCTGAAGGATTAATGGTCCTTGGGCTGCATAACAGTGCTGGCCTTGATGCTAACTTCCCCTTCCCTCCCTCCCCAGCATCTTCATCAGCCAGGTTAGCTTGAAGACAGGCCATGCCTGCCATCAAGCAAAACCCTAAAGAGCTGTAGCAGGGCAGAACCTTCACTGCCAATCATGCAGAGGACCATGCCAAGAAGATGAAACAAGAACATGTGGCATTTCCCAAGAAACCCTAAACTCACTAAGGAGTTCAAAGCCTACCCTTCCCATAGTTGAGCTTTTAAAAAAAGCTGTTAGCAACCCACAATGCAACCCACCCTTTAAGAGGCCAGTCCCTGGGCTTCATCTGGGTGCTACACTTTATGTTAATTAGCCCCCCTGCATTTTAAGTAGCCAAGCTGGCCTGCCAGTGAATCAAAATCATGCCCCAGCCAATGAATTTCTGACCATGTTTGTATCTGTGTCTATTCCATTTTCTAATGACAACTCATTTTCCATTTTTTTCCATTCCACTTTCCTTTCCACCGAAAAAACAGCACTGGACCAACATCAAGTCAAATCAATTATCAAAATGATGGCAAAACCAACATAACAAATTATGAACATAATGCCTACCAATTCTCTTCATTGGCAATGTAAACTTAACTACTTTGTAATATAAATATATACTGTTACTCCGTAAAAGAAATATTGATTATAGCCTCAAAGACAATGAGCTGTTCCAGGTTAATTGGGCCTGACAACCTTGCACATCCACTTGCACACATGCTTAGTGCCTCTTTCTATTTGTTTTGGTTCAAAAACCAGGAGAAAAATTGATTAACACTAGAATGGTTTAAGCTATTAGAATTTAAAGCTTTCTGATGTAAGTTAATTGAGAATTAAAAAAAAGACTACTTAAGTACTTTTATTTATACAGAGTGTACATGAATAATTTATGTAGTTATTATAAATTGTTTCAAAGTTTTGAAAAGTACAGTTCCTTTTTACTCACAGTTCCTATTGATTGGATGCTGATAAATCCCTTATTATGGAACATACCAGAACATTCTGATACATGCAGGTATGTCCAAAATAAACTTATGTAAGAAAATGCACACAATCAAACAATTAAATGGCCATAAAGAGAATCAAGGGCCCCTTGGAGCAACCTTGTGGTAAATTGTCTTAAGAATTTGACTAAGTGATGTCCTTTGCCACTTTTTCAACTAATGGGTGTCCAAAAGTTGAATA